TGTATAGTGATTTGCTTATGCTTGCAAATTATGTTAGTTTTGGTATAGCAATTTCATTTCATTTTTCTTACATCATTTCAAAACATGAATGTATATCCTATCTCTCCTTCAATCCCATTACCTCAAATGAAAAGTGATTCCTATAACCTTTTCAAGTGCATTTGGGGTAAAAGATGAGTACTTTGGATGTAACTAAAGCTAAACTCGCTCTTATTGTTTTGTATGTGAACAAGGTTAAAGCAAGAGATAAGATATGCAGGGCTATACAGTGTGGTTCAAAATTCATTAGTGAAGGGAGCCTAGCATAACCCAAAATGTTGCCAAATCAAACCAGCTTGGCAAGGAAAGTTTTCTCACTTTTTAAGTTTTGGCTATATCTTATAATGCAAAATAAGAAATTAGAATTATTTTCATTCAATCTCCTGATAATGGTATTATCATGAGTCTAGATTGTTAAATTAGAAAAATTTTGAGTCAGTTTATACATCTTATGAGAAAAAGTTTTTCTTTTAGATTTGATCTATACTCTTTCAAATCTTGAATCTTACTTGATTTATGCTTTACATTGTTAATTTGTAGCTTGTCAAGGATTTGCATGCTCTTATCAGCCCCATTCCTCAAGGAACTCCTCTTCCACTTATTCTATTAGAGGAGGTATGATTGTATTATAGAGAAACATTTTTTGATTGTTCTTCTCCTTTGGATTTTTAATTGACTATTTTTGTGATGAATTCATTGATTCTTCTTTCAGTCAAAGAATGCACTGTTATCAGCTTTCTTATTTCTCAATCAAATTGTTTGGCTTGGCAAAACAACTTTCTATAAGGTATAAAGTTTACTTTATCAATATTTGATTTTATATAACTTGTGGTTGGATTATGCAAGAAATGTTAAGTGGAAAAAAAAAACACTATTATTTTGCATAGAACAAAGAACGTGCTAAGCTACTTGGGTGGATATCCCTTTTCTGTTGGATGGGTTCCTTCAATTTGCAATAGCTTGGTTGAGGTTTGTTTATCATTATTAGTTATATAAAGTTCTCTCCAACAATAATTGTTTTGCCATTAAATTCTTCACAAGCTTTAGAACATTATATGATATAATCCTCTTAAATCAGCTTAGGGAACTTGGGAGGCTTTTAGCATCAATGAAAAAGTTGGAGAAGGAGCTAAAGAGTGGTAATAAGTGCCAAGTATGTTTAACATAGTTACTATTTTGTGTGCTAACAGCTAGGATTCTCTTATTTGAATTTCCATATTATATTGTGGTGGATAAAAAGGGCAGTGAAGGATATTGTTTGATGAGAAATTTATTTTATGGAGGTTTTTGTGTATTGTAAAATGGGTTAGAGTATTATTTGTTCTCAATATATGAATAAAATTGTGTTTTTGATGTTCAAAAAAAAAGATTGACAAATGGTTTTTTCCAATACAACAAAAAATTAAGTGCAGGAGAGAACCATAAAATACAAGTGAATTACCTATTGTAAAAAAAAAAAAAAAAGACTATACTGATGGAAAAGCTATCTGTATAAACCAAGGATTTATATAGACGGTAAAATCTTAAGATTTCTCAATGTTTATACTAACAGACAAGTCTTCCATCGGAATAGATCCAAGGGTCTATACATATAGATTAGTCGTCGATATATACCCTATACGAACGAGGTTTCCACCAACAAAAGAGCCTTTTGTTGGAATAGTCCTTAGGGGTTTATATTGACGGAAAAAGGATGTATACAGACAAAAAACTTTTGTCACCATAGATACATCTACTTGTAGTGTGACATCCTTTTGTTAAATCTCATAATCTAGGTATGCTACTATGGCAAGTAAAATCCTTATGGAATTAAGCATGGTTACAATTAAAAGGTTTTCACTACTAGAAAAATGACGTATATGGACCGAGCATATACGGACCAAATAGTGTCGGTCCGAAAAAATAAATATTCGAACCAATATCGGTCCGAATATATTCGGGCGGAACAAAATCTACTAATGAATATATTCGGACCGGTATCGGTCCGTAAATTTCTGGCGGGAATCCACAGTGTAGAAGCGCCAATAATATTCAGACCAATTTCGGTCTGTATATATCCATTAGAGAATACGAAATTTCATTTTTATATTCGGATTGATTTCGGTTCGTATATTTATTATTTTTCGTAAAAAATAAAGATTAAATAACAAAAATTAGGAATGAATTATTATTTTTAATGAAATTATACGGACCAAAATCGGTCCGTATATATTAATCTATTATACTGATGGGGATCGGTCCGTATATGCATATCCGGACCGATCCCGGTCTAAAAATGTGCGTCAGGAATCTCTAAATTGATTGGAAACTGAGTCCCAC